CTATTTATATTAATACAAATAAAAAAACACAAAGTTCTTAAAGTGGAACTGCTCAAAAAATTGTCAACAATTTTACATTTAAAATAGCCTTTTCTTCTTATTTACAGGAAAAAAATACATAAAAAGAACAGTAAATTTTAGTCACAGTACTTTTACTTTTGACTAGCAAATGCACTCTTAATATAACATAGACTTTAATTCACTGATGTAAAGAGAGATTATAGAACAGCCTTATCTAAACTACCCTGAATTATCATGTTGACTCACAACTGAGAACTCATATTGCCTTAAGGTTACTGTTCCTTAATAGTAAGTACTCATAAACTTATGCTGCTACATGACTTTCTCTTTAGCTCTTCCACTTGCTCGTCAAAGTAGCTGCACCTCCAGGGAATTCCCCACCACTTTGTGGATATGATAATGAGAGATTTATAGAAAATAACAGGTTTACTGGGGATCATGGAGCAGAACAGGAAAAAATGAGAGGCATGAGGACTACGTGATAAGGAAACCTGGACAACTGTATACTTCAAATATCTGCTAAAATAAAACTCCAAGGGGGAGGTTTCCAGGTGTGCTTGTGCATGCATTTAAGTAGGTAATATATAGCTATGCATACAAAAACACCACGATATGAACTCTCTCCTGATAATCTACTCCTCCAATAGAGGGCAAGTCACTTTCAGAGGATTAAGAGATCATCAGAGAGCTAGAATATACAAGAGGTCCTTTTGTGCCAAAAAATGAGTGAGGTACCACCTAAAACTCTGGAATAACGTTCTCCCCTCCACTCTTCCCTCTCTGCACTTTCAGGCAAGGCTACAAAGAGCCTTCACCAAAACAGAACAATGATGCTTTCAAAACATAGCACACACACACACAGAGAGGTGAAGACAGCTGGGGCGGGGAGGTGGAGAATGACAAACAGATGAACTGATGTTGAAATAGAAAAATCACTTTTGGACAAGTCTTTGGATGAGGCCAAAGAATGGCTGCCCTTTTGAAAGAAGATGAAGGAAAGTCCCACCGTAACACCCTAGATCTCTTCAAATCTCCTTCATAACATGATGGAAGCAAAAAACCTGTGCTTGCTAACAATCTATCCACTTTGCACCAAGTTAAGGTCACACACACACAAAAATATCCCCAGGAAGTATAAAACACCTCTAAACTCCATGAGGCATTTCATCATTGCTAGATGATTTATCACAGACACCTTTAAGCAAAAATTTATCAGATACACACACAAACTAAGGACAGAACCAACCATTTCAGAAAGAGAAAACAGTAAAATCAGAATCATAAAACGTACAGGGAAAAGGTGAGAATGCATTTGAATCAGGAAAAATAAATTTCAAGTCAGTTACATTCAGTATGAACTTATTAAAAGGACAGGGAGTCTGAGAAAGAGTTATCTGAGGAGAGACACACAAGTGACCCACCAGACTCTTTCCCCATAGACTACAACTGTTTGCCAGCAATCCCATGTTGCAGAGCAGTAAAGATCACAGAAAGAGGTCATTCTTTGGGGAAAAGAAAGCACTTCCCTGCCTTGGGGATTCCAAGAGTTGCTGTGCTGATTAAAAAGTTTGTGTCTACAGAATAATTATTACAATACAGGGCATTTCCTCTTTGGTTCTATGACCCAGAACCTAATGATGACATCATCTTTGGAATCTACAGACTGTGGCCTCTCTATCAATGAGCTCGACTGAGTTTTTGGGTAAGACAGCTTCATTGTGATCATAAGCTTTTTCCAGAATTCCCAGCCCCTTCAGTAAAAAGACATCATCACCTTAATAATGATTAAACCCACCTAGCTGCTTTGGTTTACACAAAGCATTGCTCAAACCTCCTTAGTCCTAACTCTCCCCTTTGTCTCCTTCACAACTGTTTAAAACACTCTTTCAATGCAACAGCAGATAATATATAAAATATATAAAAATACATTTCCAAGTTTTATAGCAAGCATGTAAACAAATTTTAAACATTTTGGCAGTCAAGGGATGATGTTTACTACTGAGTGAAAAAAACCCACATGAGCTACAAGAGGAAAAGTGAGTATGACTCAAAAAAAAAAAACCAACCCAAAAAGAAAACAACAAAAAGAAAATAAACCCCCCACCCCTCCCAGAAAGAAAGGAAAAGAAAGGAAAAGAAAGGAAAAGAAAAGGAAAAGAAAAGGAAAAGAAAAGGAAAAGAAAAGGAAAAGGGAAAGGAAAGGGAAAGGAAAGGGAAAGGAAAGGGAAAGGAAAGGGAAAGGAAAGGGAAAGGAAAGGGAAAGGAAAGGGAAAGGAAAGGGAAAGGAAAGGGAAAGGAAAGGGAAAGGAAAGGGAAAGGGAAAGGAAAGGAAAGGGAAAGGAAAGGGATACATAGAGATGGAAGCACCAGAGTTTTCAAAACAGGATGCCTGCAATGTAACACCTATATTTATATTTAAAAAGCATTCACCAAGATAGACATTTTTTTTTTTTTAAGATAGCATACATTATCAGAAATATACAATGCAGTAGCAAAATCCAGCAACTTATTCTGTTGTCTACATTATTTAATGATAGCCACGCAACGTTACATTGAGGAACTAACCTGCAGACACGGGCAGGAAAATACAGGTTCTGCCAGGACCGACAGAGGTATTTAGAGTGATCAATAACCCGAATCCAGTCTAACTCATCCATGGACACCTCAATGTAGTAGGAATAAGACCTATGGGTTGTCAAAAAACACTGGTTAGAATACAAGCAGCCACATCTTAGGTATGAAATTTTACACTTTCTTCCGGATTTTCAGTTGTGCTGAAAAGAAGGCTACTTGTTCCTATCCATAGACCTGTATCTACGATATGTTTTTAGAATGACTTAAAACATCCTAACACTCACAATCTGCAGTAATTAGATGAGACCACTGTCCCTCAAAAAAAATGTAACGGAAACTTTCAACTCAGTCATAAAAATAATAATTTGTATTCTTTCTTTCTTCCGGATTTTCAGTTGTGCTGAAAAGAAGGCTACTTGTTCCTATCCATAGACCTGTATCTACGATATGTTTTTAGAATGACTTAAAACATCCTAACACTCACAATCTGCAGTAATTAGATGAGACCACTGTCCCTCAAAAAAAATGTAACGGAAACTTTCAACTCAGTCATAAAAATAATAATTTGTATTCTTTCTGTGTGGAATAATTCTAAACCACCAGTGACACAGTAGTTATTTCTACTGCCGTATCAATAGAAGAATCACAAAAAACATTTAGCAGATCAAAAATGCAAATTCAAACCCTTCACTTAAACAAAGCAAGTTTACTTCATGATCATTTTCTTACTGGTGATGTTCTTCACTTCTGACCCTTTCAGTTGTTTATGATACATCGTTAAGGCTGTCACTACTTACTTACACACTCCAAAATTACCTCATCAGAAATAAAAGATAAAAAAAAAAGTCACTAACACAATCTGTGTCTTCCTCTTGCTTATCAATTATATTTAGCTTATAGTTTGCTGTTAGGAGAAAGCAAACCCAAACTAAAACTTAAAAGCCACAGCTATTTCCATATTATACCTACAACAGCGATACTTAGAATGAAGTAGAACCTTCACTTGTGGATCAGCAAATCGTAAAATGTATGTTTCAGAATATTTTCTTTCTCTTAACATACTAGTCTGCAACATTCACAGGCATTTCAATAGCACAATGTTAGCACTTACTCTCCTTTCACACTGACTTCTAAGAGTTGCTCTTCCAGAGTTCTACATAGACAATTTTTGTTAAACATTAATGCCTTTGTTAACATTTCCGATTTTTTGCTGAGAACTTAGAGGGGTAGCTGTCTAAAATGGTATTGTTTAAAAATTCTTAAAGATGTTAGATAAGACTGTTAACACCAATTTACGCACTTACAAAGGTAATGCAGAGTCTTTAAGATGTCAACTGCATAATCAGCTTTCACATTCACACCAACCAGATGTGTAATATTCACAACCCATATAAATACACTGTGTTTTAGCAACTTTATTATTACTAGCCCATGCATATTTGACCTAACTAGGCTCCAGCATTTTAGAGTTTGAACAGTTTGGATCCAAAAGTTACTGTCTGTCTTCTGTGTGGTGAGAATTTAGGGATTCTCACATCACCATCGCCAGACTAATGTAAATGTGTAACCAATATACAACGTGCTATTTTTTTGTATTTCTGAAGGTACCAAGCAAAGAAAAATTATCTCAAAAATACAGTTCCACCATCACACACAACAGTAGGCCTTTCATTTTTCTTAAGGATAGCATCTTTTTTGCAGAGGTAATTTGGACAGCTAGTCTCCTTAGCACTTTTATATCTAAGATTCACCTGTTAGTAACACCTCTAAACTAGTGCAAAACACACCTGTTAGTTTGTATTTGGTTCTGTCAAGAATATACATTATCTATGTAAAGATATCCAATAGACCAGAGCTTCACAGAGGCAGTTAAAATGAATGAGTAGTTTAAAATGATGTTCAACAAGAAGCCACCATGCGCTTGTACAGTTGCTAAAACATCTCTTTTGGAGACATTATTCATGTATCCCATGAGAAAGGTGCAGATAAGTGGCTGGCAATTCTTAGACTAAAAGAGTATATAGGTTGGAAAGGATCTCTAGAAAAAGCAAGGACAATCTTAGGGCAAGTTCCTTAAGGTCTTGGCTGGTAAAGTTCTGCATACCTCCAAGGACTGATATCCATAACTTCTCTGGGCAAACTCTTGCCAAGTTCAACTACCCCATTGTGAATTCTTTTCCTAATATTTAATAGGAATTTATCTTGTTGCTTGGTTCCACTGCTCTTTGCCCTCTCAGCACACAGCTGTAAGAGGAGTCTGGCCCTGTATTCTCTATATTTTTCCATTAAATAGGCGAAGACAGCAATAAGTTCCCCCTTCTGAGCCTTCTCCTCTTAAAACAGTAAGTTCTTTCAGCATCTCTCCTTGTACATCGTGTGCTCAAGCCCTCATCACCTTGGTGTCCTGCTGAACTCACTCCAGTATGTCAGTATCTTATACCGAGGAGCCCACAACTAGACAAAGTACTCCAAATGCTTCCTTTTCCATTTATCTTAAACAGTTGAGCTACTGGGGGGGGGACGGGGACACACACACCTTACAATTTAGGTACTATACCTGATAAGAAGCAAAAGAAAGTCCAATAACAAACTTTCCACACAAAACCAAGAAAGTCAGGATGACACAGAAACTATATCCTAAACCACTGTACCCTCAGTGTTTTATGAAGACAAGAAACTCTAGAGGTCCATCTTGTCTGATATTCTGCCACCAACAATGGTTTGTTCTACAAATTTCAGAGGAAGGTCATAGGACACCAAGCAACAGATAGTTTTTTAATAAGTTGTCCCAAGGAGAAGGGTTTTTCCCCCCGAGTTTCAGCAGCTGCTGATTTATGCTTTGCAGATGAGGGGCATTTTACCAGTTACAAGCTCTCTAAAAATTGCTAGAGAACTCTTCATTATTAATGTCTCTAACACTTTTTCAGATTTTATAAAATTGGTTGATAATTGGTTTATAAATTTGGTTGATCTTCTAGGACAAGTAGTATAATATTGTATGAAGTAGTTCCTTGTACCTTCAAAGTTTTACTTTTCAATCTTTCCAAAAGGAGTAGAGGAGAAGCATAAATTTCAGTTGAACTGAATCAGGAGAACTTACTTGAAACAATTAAATAGCTATAAATCCATGCAATTTGTTTTGAGTGACTAATAACTAATTCATATTTTAAAAATAATTTAATTTAAAAAAAATAAAAATAAAAATCAATAAAACATTAGTACGCCCTGTTCTAAAATAACACAGCTTAGTTAAGAAAACAAAATGCAACTGCTTTGCAATTCTAAACTTTTATTCTGGAAGTAATATAAAATTAATCTTTTATCAGAAAGGTAATGTGTTAAAAGTATAAGTAGCTTGTTTTATTGTTTTTAATAGAAAATTGCTTATGAATACCTGCATGAGCTGTCTACTAAACCGTAAAATCTTTGTCATGGCAAGTTATAAAATTAATATATTCAATTTGTCAAGATAAAAAGAACCTTGCAATCTTCCTACTTAAGCAGTCACTCAGTTGTTCAAATACGCATAATTTGATCTTTCATGCATTCCATAGCAATCTAATGTAGCTGAGCATAAATTGGCTAAGGCATCCATGATAGTTCATACTTCACCAGTCTCACCATGAAGTGACTTCTAATAACTACTGTAGTTAGTCAGTATTTCACATTCTAAATAAATTTTACTATCTCTGAATTATTGTCAAAGTGTGTTATTTCTTAACAGTTTTGATATATTGAAAAAATCTGAACAAACATTCCTTCCATGTTTGGAATGTAAATATGTAAAAAATATGGTTTCTGCAAAAGAACTAAAATATTGTTTTCAAACTGAAATAAAAGCAGTTGAAAACCAAGTAGCAAATAGAAAACAAGACAATTTAAATTACGTACACTTTCACTAGTAATATAAACCATTTAATGAAGACACAAAAAATACATTGAAATATTATGAGGCAGTTTAGTATCACAAAATATGGTATGGTCTGTAAGCAACCAAAACTGCATTTAAAAAAAAACAGTTTTTTTTCAAATAAAACTTGTCATTGTCATCTCCAACACTGTATCATGCTGTTTCTATAAAATATTTAATGAGTACTTCACATTGATATATTACCACCAGTACAAAATGCATTACCTTCCCTTTTTATGTCAACTTGGCACCTACCGGCTATCTCTGTCCCACAGGAGTATTCGTACGTGGTTGATTATTGATGGCTGGCCTAGTTTAATTTCAATTCCAGAACGGCAGTCATCATCGATCGGGTGCCGAGAGAAGCCATGATCCAAGTCATAGTTCTGAGTATCCCCATCTAATAAAGCAGACTTCAGCTCCCCTTTTACAACCTGCGCTCCATACTTCATTGTTGCAATATTTTCCCCTGGTACTAAGAAGAGGAAGAAATAATTGCTTAATTTTTACACTCTTATACTGCAAATTAGATGTTCTAAACATCAACTGTATTAGGTCAGAACAAAGACTTACTGCCAGTATCCTTTCTTGGCCACAAACACATGCTCAAGGAAAAACAAAAGTATAAAAAGAGAGGCATTTTAGAAATGTTGTTTCTTCTACTTGATTTGATGCCCCCTGAGTCTTTTATGGTAATAATTAGTAGTGGTAATTTACTAGTATGTAGTATCTATATTCGCAGTCCCCTTCACGATTTTACAGAATTCTATTGCACCTTCCTCATCCAATCATCACTTTCCTCCTGGTTTTAAAGTTTTGGTCTGTTTAGTCTCTCCTTGTGATCAACCTCTCACCATATCTCTAATAATTTTTTTGCCCTTTCCCAATTTTTGTTCTACTTTCAACTGTTTGGGTTTTTTTGTTTGAAGTGCAAGGAAACTAAAAATCACATAAAATGTTCAAGATGTGGATGCATCGTGAATTTGCAGAGTGGTATATACAGTGTTATAGCTCTACAAGCTATTTTGATAGCTATACAAGCTTCCAGTACTCTGCAAAGCTAAACGAACCTGAGCGAAATAGGAAACTTTTGGCTACCTGGGCTTTGAACCAAGACAGTAAAGCAAGTTTTTTATCACACCATTTCACAGTAATAAACCTGTTACATCCCAGGAACAGATCTTCCATCAAGATAACTGGGAATAATGATCCCTAAGTCCAACTACAAAACAATACATTGATGAACCACCCTACTAAAAAGACATTGTTAACAGTCTTGTTTGAGGAGAGACCCTATAAAACACGATCTGAAAGCTAAATGATGAAAAGCTGCCCCTGAACTCTTCAGGCAGGTTGGCAAGAGAAGTATGAATTTTAACAGGATGTTAAGTTTAACATTTAAAGAACAGAATTTGAAGTGATAAAATTTTAACTGTATTGTAGTACTACTACATGAAAACGTCAAATGCACAACTATGACATGGCAAGTGGTCGTCAATGTTTCCACAAACAGAAAAAATCCCAAGAGCCTGAACTAGTACTAAAACAACACAGAAATTCAATTCTCTAAAAAGCTGTGATTTTGACAAAGCTAGAAATTTTGAGATTAGGAGCATATTATTATTGAGACATAAATATGCAGAAAAAGAAGTCAGAAAACACCATTTAACTTTTTCAAATTTATCTACTGCACTGTCAACAGAATGTCTTGCATGATAAGACTGTTATGATATCCTAATATTAAACTCATATGTTTAAACATTAATATCTGTAACTGCTAAGAGAGAACAAAGGGGAGATGCAGTTCTGAGGAAGCAGCTATTTTCAGGGCTCATCACGCATGACTGACAGACTACAGTGCAGGCTCTCAAAGAACATTTAACTTTATTCTTTGCTGTGGGACAAATACTCTCTATAAATCACACATTAGATAGCAAACTAACAATATCTTTCTAAAGCTCAGTGTTAGATATTCTTGTTTAATTAACAGAGAGCACAGACAAAGTCAAACAAAAGGCTTCTCACACTTTTTAGGCTTCCATTAATACAATTTTGGAAGACTTGTTTATACTATTTGGGCAAGCATGTAAAGAGTAAGAGAAAAATCAAAAGTAGTAGAGAAAAGATGAAAATCTTCATCAAGTAGAAAACAAGTCACCATCAACATAAAACCATTTAAATAGCATATATCCCACAGCCAATGCATTTTTATTTTTAATGTTTTTGCAAAACTTTTTCTATTAGAACAGCACTTCCTCTAGGAAAATTCACTCTTATTACAACATTCATGTTTGAGCAATATCTGAGATGCAAAACAAGAAAATATGTTGACTAATATTATTTGAGGAATAGAAATGGCAAGAACAGTACGTAACAAGGTATTTCATTACGTAAGTCTTTTAAAACACATAATAATAGATAAAAACCTCAAAGCACAAATTAACCATATCCTCCAGACAACTATAGTCACTAAATGAGAAAAACACAAACAAAAACCTGATGCTTACTTAACATGCCCCTGTAGTTGAGGTCCATGTCCCGACTCTCAGAACGAATCTTAATGGCATCTAGGATGGCATCAGGTGACAACAATCCAGAAGGTCTTACAACATTTAGTAGTTCTGTTAGACTCATTAGTGGCAAACGTACTGCTTGCATGATTTCAGCATGGTTTTCCTTGGGGTTATGTTTACACCAATTCATCAAAGCTTGGAAAATGTCCTTCTCAGGAGCTGCAAATGAGTCCCTCAGTACAATACTTAGAAGAGCATCCTGGAAAAGAAAAACAAAAAAAACCCCCAAATAAACAATTTGTTTTTTTAAAGGAAAAAAAAAGGAAATTAAAATAAGGCAAAAATTAATGGGTATTTTAACTTGTAGTTATTAAAAATAATCTCCAAAGAAGTGACTACCTGAAACTGTAGCTTATTTTAGTTACTTATGCAAAAATTATAGAATCCATCATGTAAATAACAGGTAATATTACAAATAAACTAGGAGAAATAAGTCAGAATTGAAATGTGGAGAACTATTCAAATCAACTTAATTCCAGCTAGTACTTCAAATTTACTTTGGAATATAAGAAGTGATTTGGGAATTTGGTAGTACAGTTCAAAGCATTCCTTTAAACTTAAGCTGGTATAAGAACACTGATGAGAAAAATAAAGTGTGGCTTGGAACCACCTTTTTAAGCCATTTCTAACTATTTGGGATTCCCCCCCCCCCTTTCTCTCTCTCTTTTGGTACCAACTTAGAATCAGCAGGTAAAAACTTCAGTGGCTCTTATTCATGCAGAAAACCCACTCATGCAAAATGAGAACAAAAAGAATTGAACAACTTTTTGGTTTTCACTTAGCTAGCAGAATACTTAGGAGTTTGCCTAAGAAAAGGATAAATCTCTCACATATAACAGAATTGGCCATGCCGAAGATGTCATAAAGTATGCGCTTCATGATGAATGACGTTTGCCAACTTCTTTATTAATAATATGCTCTCAGAGCTCAGATTTAACAAACTGCGCATGACAGAGTACAGCAGAGAGAAAAAAAACATTTTTTCCCCTACACAACTAGTAAGTTAGTCAGCGGAGCAGAGTGTCTTGTACTTATTCAAGGAATAGCTTTTCACAGCTTCCATCACAGCTTTTCCACTAAAAACACTTTTTAAGAAAAAATAATTAAACCATCATTCATTCAAGATGCTTCATGTGAACATCACTTGAAAACACTCTATCACTATTATGTCCAGCTCAAAGACCACCCCAGAGTAAGTGGAAAATTTCAATGTCATAGAACAGCCTGACTCAGGCACAAATATTCATGCATCTAACAACAACAACAAAACCAACACACAAAAAACCCAAACCACCCTACAACACCACCATATTATGCAATTTCAGAACATGATGACAATCGGCAATTGTCATCAAATCACAGCAATCTCCAGAATGCTTTAGCTTACACAGTAGAAAGTCACCCATCACTGAGGCAGCCTATATCAAGAAATCAATAGAATGGAGTATCTTCTGCTATCTTCAAATCTTTATTTTATATCCCCTAGGCAGCATTCAGAAGCCAAATTATATTATCTCAAGAACAGATGAAAAAAGACAAATTAAGATTAGATTGCCTGCTCCCACCTTTTAGAATATTCCATCAGATTTACTATATTTAGCTATACTGACTGGTCAAAATTAAATACCTAAAAAATTCAGAACAGATCACCAGGATTTTCAGTTCAGCTTAGTTTGAACGTTTCCAACTGTCACAGCTTCACTAGTATAAAATGATACCTGTTAACTAACATATAAACTTGTATTTGGTGCCCCCATTAGTATTTTATGATGAAGATGTATACAGATTGACATTAACATTCCTGGGGAAAAAAGTGCAAACAAAAGATATACCTTAGAAAGCGATAGGAAGCCTTCGCTGGAGAGCACCTCTTGAGCATTTCTATCCATGAACATACAGCACATACAAGTTAATTTGGGAAGGGAATAAAGACTGGCAACATCAAATGTCATACAGACATTCTGAATATTAAGTATTGTGCAAAGATACTCAGACGTGGAATCTTCCAGTTCTGGGAACCCATATTTATGTGCTAGGCTTAGGAAGTCTAGGAGAACCTCCTCTTTCTCATCTCGTAGTGTAGCACGACCAGTGTAAATATATTTCAACAGCATGGTAAATGCTTCTGCAGTGGTGTCCTGAAGAGGAATTTCTGCTTCAGGCTGAGATTCTCTCATTCCGCCATACAATAATGCTCTATAAGGAAGATAAAATTTGAGAAATTTATATCCTGATAAAAACCAGGCAAAAAGTAGAAAGAGAAAGGAATAAATGACTCTCTACAGCAAGGGGAATACAAAGGGGATACGGTTTAAGAATCTACAAAAGAAAAACTCTTATACTTGGCATTTAAAGTGCAGCTCTGCTCTGAAAGCAGCTGCACAAGAATAATATGCTCATGCATCATGTTTTTATCCTACACAACAATTGCTCCATCTCCACTTTGAACAATAGCTTGCGAAGCAGAAGTCGAGATATTTCTCATACCTTTCTTTTTTTTTTTAAATATAGTGTTATCAGTAAGAAAAAAAAGAAAAATTTTCAGAAAGCAAGTGAAACAAATAGTTTGTCACTACAATAGCAGTGGCAGATTAGCAAATCTCAGGATTCCTGATCCTCTATTCCTTACTCTAAACCAAGCAAACAGCAACTCCGATGAAATCCTGAATCTTGAAAAAAAAAAAAAATCTAAGTACTCACAATTATTTTTTAAAATACGATAGACAGTTTGAACACAATTGCATTCACACTTCAATTTAGCTATTAGCTTATGACTCTGACAAAATTAACTGGAAGAAGATTATCAGGAAGTTCTATTAATTACATTTAGAGTGAAAAATGCCCAGCTCTTAAAAAAGCTGAATTAGTATTATTCCTAGTTTGAAAATACATATTCTAACCTGTATCAGCCAGACCTCTTTAAAAATAGTCAATTCCAATGCACCAAAATTAAACTTTCTAACTGAGTATATTCCACAGAAGCACACCATCCATACTCTGAGAAATCAAAACAATTTTACAGCAGAACTTTTCTGTTCTGAAGTTATCTTTCTCTTGAACTTGTGAAACTACCTTCAAAATCCAATTTAATGAAGGTCAAAAGAATAACATCATGACATGGTATTTATCTTTTTATATTTGGACACAATGATTTGATGTGCTGGGAAACATTCACACAGAAAAGGTCACACTCATGGGACAGATGATTACACCCTGAAAAGTTCATAGAGAAACACTGTTTATCTTATCTGCATGAAAATTTCCCGTGAGCCTGACAAAAAGCTATACTTCACCTGAAATAATGGCACCTAGCAGCCAGGATCACTCTGTGTGCCGGAAAACGTTTCTTTTCTACAATAAAGGTAACATCACTATATTCTTCCCCATTCATTAGAGCACCAATATGCTCTGACAGAATGTGAACGTGGTCAATCTCACCCACAGCTGTGTAAGGACGAAGCGGATGGCTGTTACTCATCTTGGAGGGATGGTGATATTGGTAGCCTAAAGGGAAAAAGAAAACAACCAATATTATAAAGGGCAGAAATATTAAAAAAAGGCAAAGAACAAGCTGCGATTACGAAAAAAGCGACTAGTGTAAGTTACCATATATTACAGGAAAAATGAAACCAAGAGGTTTTCTGTTAAAGTTCATTTACAACAGGACTCGATGTAGCTTGCATCAACGATTCCAGCCGACAGAAAATATTTCAGAGAATTCCGTCACCTTGTTGTTCTGTCAATCCATTTACTTTAAATAAAAAGCTTCCAACAAAAGGAATTAAAAATTAAACAAATTTAATTAAAGTTACCATTAGAAAGCAAATTTATCTGAATTAAATGCACATAAATTATAAAGAAATAAATAATTTGACCAATTAAGCATAGTCTTAGCTCCCAAGTCTCTACTAAAATCAGTGTATTTGCAGAATTCCAATCAACTTCCCAGAACTGGGTGAAAATAAACAATCGGGATAACTTTTAATAAATAACAGATGAAGTCTGTCAAGGAGCAAAGCTTTACAATGTACAATTCAATTTTCTTAGCCTTTCCACTCAGTTTTCTTGATGCCTTCTTGTTCCCTCATATATGTAAGAAAATAAACCCCCTAATACCTCTCAGTCATAACAGTAGGAGACTGTCCACTAATGTACAATATCGATTAATGCATTAGCCATATCTACCATGGAATTATTTTCTTACTTCTTAATTCACAAGAGGTTTTAGTTTTGTTGGTTTTGGTTTATTTCAGCAACAGAGGCTTGCTGTAGTCTCAGTGGCAAGAGCACCCATGGGAGAATTTAGGTCTTAAATCAGCTTCTATTGTTACACTTCGGTTTACTTTTAAATAAAAAGAGGTTGGCTGTTTCAGATAATAACCATCCATATTTTCAGACACACCTTCTGTACTCTTAATGACTAGCCACTTTTCAAAATGGGCACATACTTAGTGCTGAAGAAAGATGGTGTACCACAAGAAGCGGGAAAATGAGGCCTGTCGTGGTTTAACCTCAGCCGGCAACTGAGCACCACGCAGCTGCTCGCTCACTCTCCCCACCCCAGTAGGATGGGGGAGAGAATCGGAAAAGTGAGAAAACTCATGGGTTGAGATAAAAACAGTTTAATAATTGAAATAGAATAAAATCCTAATAATAATAATAATAGTAATAATAAGAATATACAAAGCAAGTGATGCACAGTGCAATTGCTCACCACCTGCCGACCGATGCCCAGCCA